AAACGTCTATAAAGGGTGTGTGTGTATTGCGTGTGTGTGCATGCATGCACGTGTGCCAGCTCAAGTGCATGCATATGGAAGCCAGGAGATAACCTGGAATGTCATCCCTCAGGTGCTACCCCCTCCTTTCTTCATAGGGCCTCTCGCTTGGAGCTCAACAAGAAAGGTAGGCTACCCAGCAAGCCCCAGGATCCAATTGTCTCCGCCTCCCCAGTGCTAGGATTACAAGAACCAGCCACTGCACCCAGTGTTCTGGGAATCAAACTGAGGTCCTTGTGGCTGCAAGGCAAGTGTTCTGTCAAGTGAGTCATCTCGCAGACCCTGTAATAGACTTTTAATAACAACAGCATTAGCACAGACATGAAAAAACAGTATATATCACTTACATTGAATTTATCCTACAGTGTCTGTTATATAAGAATTTATGATCCCCCTGTGGCCTTAAGGGGGGTTGTTCATGCAGGTACTTCCAGGGATTTCACTAGCTGTTCTGTTGCTTCAGCATAAACTTACAAAGGCATTAAAGTATTATGGATCAAAGACTAGAAAATAGGACTGGGCAGGATGGCTCATGCCTGTAATCCCAGCACTTAGCAAGAAGAGGCAGGAAAATGATTAAGTTCAGCCTGGAGCAGCATAAAAACACCTTATATTTTAAAAAACAAAAACAACAAAACACTAGAAAACAAAACGACACATTCCGGCTGCTTTTTAAAAACATAATATAATGTAACCAAATATAATTGCATAATATTCTTTTTCAGTTGAGTGTTTTCTGTCAATAGGACACCAGATCCTTAGGTCAAGAATAGAAACAAGAAGAATCCACTCACCTTGCCTTCAAGACATTTAAAATCTGGGAAAAGGGACTGGGGAGATGACTCAGGTAGTAAAGTGCTCGCTACGTGAACATGAAGTCATGAATTAGGGTCCCCAGAACCCACAGCAACCTCAGCACCAAGAGAGACAGATATGTGCATGCATGTGTACCTGCATGAAATATGCAAATATTCCACACATGCACACAATAATTAATAATGTAAATAAAGTCGAAAGGGGGCAATACAGTTAAATATAAAAACTGGGCCAGAAAGCAAGGGAACAGGAAGGCCAGGAGATACAAAAGACCAAGAGCACAGAAAGGAAAGGAACAGCGAACTCAGTGATCAGAACTAGGAGCTCATTCACACTTTAAAAAAAAAAAATGTCTTGATAAGGCTAGTTGGGGTGGCATGGGCTTTGACCCCAGCATTCATCAGATAGAGGTAGATGGAACACTATGAGTTTGAAGCAGAGTTCTAGGCCAGCCAAGAGATGCATAGTTAAACCTTATCTTGTTTCAGGTTGTGTTTCTTATGTTCTCTGACAGTTTGGGTTCACAGAGACTATGCTGCTGGAAGTAGTTTCTGAGCTGAGCCTTAAAAGATCTAGGTTCTTCCAGAGCAGGAATGAGAGAGCGCTGAAGGCAACAGGCATGCATGGGCAAGACCAGACAGACGCTCTGGTGACAAGGTCCAGGTCGCCAGCACACAGGTCAGGAATGCTGAAGCGAAAGCCAAGGCGGAACCTACTATCCCAAACTCTGAGCTAGCAAGGGAGTCTACAGTAAGTGGGTAGGGAAAGGGGGCTGGGGTTTGACTCTCGGTTCCAATGTTTATTAGAAGGAAACTGAACTGAGCGTTTCCTAGACTCCCTTGTCACTGAGGTACAACTCACCTGCTTTGATGTGGCTTTTAGGATGGAGAGAGGTGATGCATGGCCAGCACCTCTGCATGACAGTGCTCTCTGCATCCAGGAGCAAAGCTGCGTCTCTAACATTGCTCATAACTATAAAAGCCTTCCAAGAATTTTTAACACTACAACAATGACAGTTCTTCAAGAACCTGCTTCACTGGACGTGGCAGACAGGAGAGAGGAAGAAAAATCCACCTGTAGGCCATGTTAGGGCAGAGTGAAATCCCTGAACTAAGGCGCTGCAGGGACTGGACAAAGCCCAAGATACTGAGACCAGGGTGGAGGGAGGCAGGAATGTGGTCTGAGCAGTTGTAACTGAGAGGGTAAAACAGAAGTTTCTAGAGAAGGCCAGAGAGCTGATGACTACGTGGGTCTAGACAGAATGGGGGTTTGCAGAAAAATGTACAGCTCTCAGTGTTGAATGGGAAGCGCGTTCAGCTGCACAACTCCCACAGTCTCCGACACCTCACACCCCCTCACTTCCAGGGGCATTCTAATCCAGTCCTCCCCGGAGCTCTCCAAGTGGAAATGTCAATTAAGAAAAGGTAGTCCTGCCAAGAAGCTCATTATAAAAACAAATGATGGGTTATCCAGACCCTCATGCAGGGAGACGCACCACACACTTGCCCTCTTCTTGGCCACTGGCCCCTCAGGAGCCAATCATACCTTCTCTTTTAGAACCTCTCCACGCCCTCAGTTTCCCCCGCAAGGGGTAGAAGGAGCAGAAATGCCTTTTGTTTTACAGAAAAGTCACGGCAGCACCAGCTGGGCTGAGTGGTTTCTGCGTCTGGGAGGAAAGGAACTGCCCAACTTTCCAGCCCTTTCCGAGCAAGATGGACAACATTGCACCTCGAGCTCATTGACCACAGTGGGGAAGGGCAGCCTGATTTCTGTTTGAATCTGGTTGAAATGAAGATCTCCTTCCCTCCCCTATTAAAAGGCCCTGATCGACCAGGCCCACAAACCATACACTCACCCACAAAAATCAATGGCAGGAAAGCCTCGACCATTCAGAAGCAGTGCACCTGGAGAGCCTGATGCCGGCACCGCAGCGCCTACAGCCCGGTCTCAGATAGCATCGGAGCATTTTACCAGTGAGCTGCCTCACTGGGTTAACACTGGCTAAATAGTGAGACAGGAGACATCAGAGTATAGTGGAAGGTTTAGAGTCAGAAAGATAATGAGGCGCTCTGGGAGTTACTACTGACCCCAGGCAAATTCGTGAACTCGGGTGGTGAAGCCTGTCACGATGGTGAAGATTAGGACATAAAACGCCCTGTGCACTCTGGTAGTATCTGGCCTATAACTATTCGTCATTACTGAAAACAGATCTCAGGGATAAGACAGCAACTCTTTTAGATGAGCGACATGTCCATTGGCTGTAAAAGTGGAAATCATATTTTCACCTCTTAGAAGTAACCCGACACAAGAGAAAAACAGGCTAGAACCATGGTACTAGAATCATGTTTGCCTTGGGGCAAGTAGTTAACCCACAGGAGCCTGAATCCAATTCCCTAAAAAATGTCTAGCTGTCTAGCTCTGATCAGGTTGGGTGAGTAAAAGGCAGCTTGTTACCAAGCCTGACTGCTGGAGTTTGATCCCTGGACCCCACAGTGGGGAGAGAGAGAGAGAGAGAGAGAGAGAGAGAGAGAGAGAGGCTGGAGAGATGGCTCAGTGTTTAAGAGCACTGGTTGCTCTTCCAGAGGTTCTGAGTTCAATTCCCAGCAACCACATGGTGGCTCACAGCCATCTGTACTGAGATCTGGCGCCCTCTTCTGCAGGCATACATGGAGGCAGAATATTGTATACATAATAAATAAAATCTTTAAAAGAGAGAGAGAGAGAGAGAGAGAACGAGAACTCACTACTGACGTCCTCTAACCACTAACCTGTACGCACAAGCACAGGTTGGTGAGCACACACAAAAACACCTCAAAGGGGAGACTTAAAAAACAATCTAGCTAATCAGACTACTGTTAAGTTATTGAGGCGTCTATACAAAGTTCCCAGTCAACACCTCGATGGTTACCAGTGGGTGCTCAACAGCAGTAGATGTTGCCAGCTATTAATTTTCCAAATAAATAAGGAAAAAGAGGAAAATCAACTGTGAAATGAACATTCTCACAATCGTGAGGAAGTTTACATTGGCTCATTCCATAAACGTGTATTGTGACCCTGCCGTGTGGACGGCTGCGTTCTTGACACTGAGGCTAGAATGAGGAACAGGCCCAAGCCTCCACTTTCCAAGGACTTGCATGCATCCTAGTGGCAGAAGGAGGCAGGCAGTGGGAAACACAAGATCATCCCAGGCAGCTTTAAGCTCTGTGAAGAGCTCCAAACAGGACAACATGGAGTTGATGGACAGGATGGACATTTAGCTTGGAAGCACTGCCGTCTGCCTGATGGTTCTTGGTAGCCAAAAGGAGGTCCTCTTTGTAGGATACTTTGAGTGTGGAATGTGGATGGCCAAAAGTCAGACCTATGCTTACCCGTCTCTGAAATTCATCTTTTGGCAGCTACAGTGTAAAATACAGTACCCAAATGTTCTCATCCAGAAATCAGAAGCCTAAGACACTGTGACATCCAAGGGGACTCAAATGCCCCCAGACACAAGATGACAGAATGCCCCCAGACACAAGGTGACAGACTACATCTCTCCCAGCCCAACAGTCAGGAAGGCAGGCTGGTTCAGAAGTGTCTCAAGGACACAATGCAAAGCCACCGGTGACGCCGGAGGCAGCAAACGCCCGCTGGGCTCCTGAAGCCCCAAGGGGAGAGTGTTCTCGGTCCCCAGTGCTGACACGGTGGGGCGTCGCGACCTGTCTGGGGGAGACCAAAGAGCAAGGTGCCTGCACCGCCCGGTCCCAGCTCGCGGATGTGGTAAAGCCTCTCTCCTGGCCCAATTAAGCAGGTTTGCCATGCCTCCCACCTCGGCACAACGCCAGACTGTGCCCGGGACAGCTCCACCGCACAGCATCCTCCTGCACCCGCACGCGCTCCTGTGCTCCGCTCCTTCTCCCGGTCCATCCCGACCGGGCTGTCACTCGAGGGGCACAGCTCCACGGTGAGCAGCACCAGAGTGCTTCCTCTCAGAAAACTGGCGCTGACCCTGTAAGCGACCTCCGGGTCTCAGGGCTTCCCGGTGGACCGGACTTCCCGGGAGCAGCTCATACATACTCCGGATCCTAGACTGGCAGCATGCCTGAAACTTCCCCGGAGCCTCCAGCTCGTCTCAATCCCAGCCCAGCGGACGCCCTGCTGCTCACCTGAGCTTTCCGCAGCTGGGGACTCTGAAACCCCGGTGGAGGTTTCAGACCGGGAAGGAGGCAAACCCGGCTTCTCCCGTCCCTGCAAGGCTCAGCCGACGGCAGTTCCAGCACCAGCCGCAGGAGACTGGGGCGCCGAAAGCCACTCGCCGACAGATGGTGGGCGGAAGCCCGCGCTGCTCACCGGCTCTCCTGGCGCGGGGGTCCCTGGTCCTCTGCCACTGACCGGCGTGCGATCCCGGTACCAGTTCTCAGTACTTTGCCCAGAACTTTAGGGCGCGCGCCGCGGGGTGATTAGCTGAAGAGCTTGAGCGAGGGGAGGGAGCTAGGAGGAGGAGCCTGAGTCTTCCCTGGGGGCGGAGCAACATGGGGGCGCAGCAGAGTGGCTCCCACTCCCACCAATCAGGAGTCATCCGGGGAAAGGTGGTGGGACGCTGCACTTGGAAGCTGCCGGCGGATTCCGTGACGCCACCCCGGGTTCAGGGCGCGTAGAGGAGCCGAGGGTGGCGGTGGGTGTGGCTGGGCGGGGCAGCAGCTCCCGGCAACCCTGGGCAGTGTGCGCCCTGCCGGCTCTCAGTAAATGTTTATTGAATGACTAGGAGGGAGGTAAGGTCCGCGCGGGAGGAGCTGTTTTAAGAAGATTCCAGGGGACTAATGTAGTCCAACAGGGGAGGATCACTTGACCATTGAAAAGCGTGAGGTTAAATAAGAGGGAAATAAGTGGCGAGTCGAGGGGGTTTAGGCACACGATGTCTGGGAGAAGAATTGGTGTGGGAGACTAGGTTCCGACACTGGGGATGCAGCCTCCAGAAGCAGTTGGGTAGATTGGTGCGGGGGCACAGTGGAGCGGGAAGGGCAAAAGGGTTATTTTGTTCTTACAGTCCTCGTACAAAGGCCAGGAAAGAAAATGCAATGTAGTTGGCGATTAAAACGCAGGAGCCTCTGGCTAGACAACCAGACCCATCCAACTATACGGCCCACTTGCTAGACTCCTAGCTTGGATGCCAGCCACTGATAATTAGAGGTCAATTTGCAGACCGCACATGAGTCCAGCGCCTCAGGTGGCGCGGTGGGCAGGGGATGATGAATGCCAGAAGCAGATGCCATCCTGCACCTGCGGTAAAGGCACACAAGGTTTCTGTCCTCTCAGAACCTACATTTTAGAAAGGAAGCAGACGATAAACCAAAGAACGTACATATAAATAAACAAGAAAACGTTGATGAACTGTTATCACTGAGACAGGGTCACGCAGAACACTGGAAGGAGGGAGTGGAGGGAGTGTCCCAGGTCCCTGAGGGCCTCTTTAGAAGGAAGAGGTTCTCAAACAGGCTCGCGAAGCGGGAAGGGCGCTGCCACTCTCGGTCTGAGGAAGAGCTTTCCGGGCACTCAAACTGCCAACGCGACGTATTTAACCTCTTTAAGATCCTCCTGGCCGGCCTCACCGAGCAGGGCAGTTTGGGTCTTTTGGCTCAGTTACTGACACTCTAGGCGCTCCAGAATGCCAAGTACTCGCGCCAGCCGCCACTGGTGGCACTAGCCATTGTCAGTCTGACCCCATATTAAGGTTTCTGAGGCGCTCTCCACGACTATATAAACCACGTTTCATTCACCACGCTTGGATATTCGCTTTCTGGAACAATCGCTGACGCAGACTCTCTGGGGCTGCCTGCTTTGGCCCTAGCAGGTGGAGGGGGTTAAGGTATGTTCTTGGCTAGGACTTCAGATTCTCTAGACTCTGTGAGCCTTAGCACTTGGTCAGAGATTTCAGTATGAATGACACGGGGCTTCCTCTACTACCCCAAGCCTGGCGGTGCTAGCTGAGGAGCAGGCCTGATAGTGGCGGGGACCCACGCCCAGCTCAGATGCCTGAACCACTCTCACTTCTAGTAACTCTTCCCCAAGACATCCTCTCTCTGTTCCTCTCCCCACTTCCAAACCGCCTTGTTGCTTCTGGATTCGCTTTCCTATAGGAGACAAGCCTTTTATCCCTAAGGAATGTCTTCGCTGCAGAGGAATCCAGCCTTTGGACTTCCCACACTGTGGTTATCATCTCCAAAGGTCACACTCGAGATTGTACAATCACATATAACTATGTACATACACACTTGTGTTGAGCCTGATTCATAGCTACTCTGAGGCTGTACCAGCCAAAGGGCCTGGTAGCCACAGGTTGGACAGACAGCTACGATTTTACTGTTCAAACTGACATCTGGTCCTTGGCTTTCTCTTCTGGTTCTTCCAGGCTGCCTGTGTGTTCCGGTTGGTGATGGAGGCAGTTAAGGAGACAGGATGAGAGATGTGCTCATATCCAAACTGCCTTGCCTCCGAGAAAGAGGACTCTCAGTGAGTCTCTTCAGTTTCACTTCCTCTTCTAAACAAGCTTCCAGGCGCTGCCGCTCCTACAAATCAAGAGGGGAAAGATTAAAGTTGAAACCCACGCAGAGTTAATTATCTCGCAAAAGCTCGTTACTGTCCTAAAATTAGCTTGCTCCACGGTCTTATTTTAGCGCGATGATCTGAATGTACTAGAGAAAGATCAATGGTTGCATAGTAAGTTTCTAGAGCTCTTTTCTCCGAACAGTTGAACATATACTGCTGATCCTTGTAGACACTCCACCACTGGGGGGGGGGGAGGTTCTTTTGCAGTTGGCTTAGTGCTTTTCTTATTTTTACATTTATCTATTTAGTGTGTGTGTGTGTGTGTGTGTGTGTGTGTGTTACTGCATAAAAGTGGAGAGCGGAGGACAACTTGTGAGAGCTGGTTCTCTTTTTCCACGTGTGTCCTAGGGATCAAGCTCATGCTCAGTGGCAAGCGTCTTTACCCCCTGAGTCATCTCACTCATCTGGCTGAGTGGTTTTTGCCTCTGAAATGCCTCATAGGCGAGCAGGTTCTTGTCTGTTTTTGCCTGTGTTCATCGTAAAAGAAGCTGGTCAGAATGGAATGTAGGCAAGAACTACATGGGCTTCCAGCTTCTTGTCTTGTCATGACGACTCCCAGTTAAGGAGCACCTCTCCCACTTTGTGAAATGGAAATAGACATTGTATTTATGGGGCTACTTCAAGAGTTTTACAATGTGCGATTGACATTCTGGGCCCAACAATTCTTTGTTTGTGGGTAGGAATAACTCTGTGCCTATAAACTGCATCTCTGCCCTCTACCCGCTCTGTCCCACCCAGATGGAGCAACCAAAAATCCTCAGACATTGTCAAAAGACCCCTGGAAGGCAGAATCAATCCTGGCTGAAAACTACCGCTGGCTTAGCACATAGATCAGGAGGCAGCAGAAGTACCTGCTTAGGATAGGATTCTGTCTTCGAACCAAGGGTAAATTTTGCTTTCCTAAACCCCATCTGCACAATAGAAATCTGAATAATATCATCTCTTGAGGCTGTTTATGGATTAAATGGAATTGTATAATAGCCATTTTGCAGTGTCTTGACACATGTACACTACAAAAATCAGCTTCTGGTCTCACTGTCTTCCTGGGGGAGCAGACATTGGCCTGCTTGGTTTCACTGTCTTCCTATGGTGAATAGGCATTGGCCTGCATGGCCTCACTGTCTTCCTGAGGAAGCAGGCACTGGCCTGCATGGCCTCACTGTCTTCCTGGGAGAGCAGGCATTGGCCTGCATGACCTCACTGTCTTCCTGGGAGAGCAGGCATTGGGCTGTATGGACTCACTGTCTTCCTGGGAAAGCAGGCATTGGCCTACATGACCTCACTGTCTTCCTGGGAGAGCAGGCACTGGGCTGTATACTTTGTTTGCTGCTACTCCTGTTCCTGATTCATGGCAGATAACAGGAGTAAGTCAAAGCTGGGTTTATCACCAAGTTCAAATAGGGCTCAAAATTCTTAACACTGTATTCTAGGAAGCTATCACTGACAGAACAGCCTAAGTATGTAAGAGGGTACTGAAGGACCATCCCAGGGCTGAAGGATCCCTGACAGCTCCAGTGTCCTGCAGTAGTGACCACATGTGAGAAGGAACAACAGTTAATCATGTCACCAGCCTCACCTCTTTTATAGAGGGGAAGGATCTTGAGACCAAAGTTCCAGCATCTTATAGTAATCATACAGCCCAGAGGCTCTGACTCCTGTTCCCTTAAGTTCTTTTCCATACCCATTATCTAAGGAAGCTGCAAGCATTTTCCTGGCCCAGTGCTTGAGGCAGAGGCAGGTGGATCTCTGTGAGTTGAGGCCGGTCAGGCCTACAGAGTGAGATCCAGGTCAGCCATGGCTACATAGTGAGAACTTGTCAAGAGAGAGAGAGAGAGAGAGAGAGAGAAGGATGAAGGGAGGGAGGGAAGGAAGGAGGGAGGGAGGAGGAAACATGTCCGAAGCAGCGATAATTACCCTATTCATTTTATGTGAAAAAAATGAATTAAAGTATTTTTGTTGCGTAGGATTGATTACCTTGGAAGCTGTCTTTCAAAAGTGTTAGTAAGCGCATGACAAAATAACGTACAAGAATTCATCTATTCCTTTATGAAATATAGATCACGTGCCACCTTTGTGGAAGAGCCATTCTTAGCAGGCGCTTTGTGACACACAAAGATGGATCAGAGGCTGTTCCTGCCTTCATTGCTTTCTGTTACCTCCAAAGGGCAGATCAAACATGTATATAAATAACTACAATACACGCTGCAGACTGGAAACTGTCCTGAGAGAGGCACCAAAAATATGTACAGACAAAAAGAGATGAATTATTTTGAGAATTAGAAGCAGAGTTACTTCCGGCATGGCTTTGTTGACACTTTTAACTTTTGGTTTAAAATGTGTGCTTATTACAGTAAAACTATCCTTGTAAAGGAAGTTGCCATATTGTTAGAGTTCCTGGTTTAGATCCAATTCCTGCTAATGTACTTGGATACTATCTGTGCAACTTAAAGTCAAAGTTCATTCTAATTCTAAATGAGTCATTTGTTAAATCAGATGTTTAACTTTTCTGGAATGTTCTAGCTTACTCACCTTTAGGGACAACAGCACAGCTTTCTTCCCAAGCAGTTGGCAGAACCAGTCTTTTAAGCTTGTGTTCTACTGTGGGAACACACATCAAAATGAACATTACAGGGTCAGAGGGAGAGAAGGGACAGAATTTCCTTCAGGACGGAACTACCCCAGGAGCACCGACTGATCTCTAAGTACCACCTCCGAGAACACACACATCTCATGCCATCTTCTGACACTACTAAGAACAGCCCACGTGAGTTATAGAAAACATTGTTTGCCAGGCGCTACCAACCTGAGCTGCCAAGACTGCTGCTGCTCCCCACTATCAGGAGTCTGCCTGTCAAATCAGAAAGATTTGGC